GTATCCACGAGTGCTCCCTGCGTGGCTGATGAGTCCCACCTGGGCGATGGATCCTCGCCGGCCAGGCGGAGCTGGGAGCTGGCTGTGGGCCAGCTCCTGCATGACACAGCATGAAATGGTGTGTCAGGGCCCGGCAGCCTCTGCTCGGGGCTAAAGGTTGGAATTGCATGGACACCGAGGCTTTGGCAGGCTCGGTTTGGGCAAATCCCGCTCCTGCTGTGGGCAGCAGGATCCCACGAGGGCTTTGATCAGTGTCCAGTTGAAACAATTGGACTGAAGCTTCCTGGAAGCTTGAATCAAGCGAATTCCTAAAGGGAAAGCTGCCCTTGACCTGATTTTATAGGACTTGGTTAAAGATGTGGAGTTTGTGCTGTGTTAAGAAGCTGATGCTCAGCACTTGGTTGCCGAGCTGCACGGAATGTTTCAGGAATGCGTTGAGTCTGAGCCTGGACAGAGTCTGGCAGAACGTGACCAGCTGTGTTTTGAGTGAGTGTGTTGTTTGGGGCGGGTGTGCAGGACACAGCAGCACCTTGGAATGCCCAGAAGTCCCGTGAAAACTCCACTGCTCGAGGCAGAGTTCTCTAGGAAGCCCGGGCGGAGATGCAGCTCTGATAGAAGCTGTGTGGGAGAGCAGGATGCCAAGTGATGGGGCAATGCCAAACTGGAATAACCATCCCTAGCTGTGGCTGGAACTGAGCACCTCCTCTGTCCCCTTTGACCTGTTTCCTGACAAACTGCTCTTCCTAATCCTATTTAAACCTAAAGCCTGTAGAATAGCTGATCTGCGATGGGCATTAAGAGCTCTTAGGAACAGTGGCAGTGTTCCACCAGACCTGGTCTGTGCAGGAAAGGTTAATCTGTGGGATTTGAGAGCCTGTGGGCAGAGATGCTGTTGGCATGGGGGGGATTCTGGACACGCGTGGCCTGAGCGTAGTTAACATAAAGTTCCAGCCTTCCCTTGGAAGAGCTTTCAATCCAAGCCATTTTCCTGAGGCTTGTGTGTGTGCTTGTTGCAGGCACGTGGGAGACCTGGGCAACGTGACCGCGAAGGGGGGAGTGGCCGAGGTGCAGATCCAGGATTCCGTCATTTCCCTCAGCGGCCCCCACTGCATCATCGGCCGCACCATGGTGGTGAGTGCGGGGGGACTGGCGCTGCTGCAGGGGCACAGAGGGCTCTTGGTGTGTTAAGGAGATCCCAGTTTTCCTGCTGGCCTTCCAGGCATGTCCCTCTCTCCTTTTAACTTTGCCCCTTCCAGCTGTGGGTGACCGGACCGTGGAGGGAATTGGCACAAATGCTGTCACTGGAAGGAAAGTCCAGTTGGGAGTTTTTAGCGTGGACAGGGGTTTGACATGGTGCAGCTCCTGTGTGGGAGCAGTGGAATGTGGGGATTGGGATCTCCAGTAAGTTAAGGTCTCCTCACTTCCCTTTCAGGTCCACGAGAAGCCGGACGACCTGGGCAGAGGGGGGGACGACGAGAGCAAGAAAACCGGGAACGCCGGGCCCCGTTTGGCCTGTGGAGTGATCGGGATTGCCAAGAGCTAAGCGTGGCACCTCAGTGCTGCTCCACTGCTGCTCTTGCCCTTCCTCGTGCAAGCCCGAGATTTTGTCACTGATCTCCTGCTCCTCTGCATCCCGAGCAGCGCTTAAACCTCTGAGACTGACGGCGTTTTGTATGATGTACATGGCAATTAAAGTGTCCCCCATGGAACAGCTCTGTGGTCTCTGCTCACACACCTGCACCATTCCACCATTCCCTGTCGCCTCCCTCACTGGAGCAAACCCCTGCTGTGTGTGCCAGGGAGGATGGGGGCAGAGCTCACATCCCAGACCCTGGCAGACAGCAGCAGCCCTAGGGGTTGTCAGGGCTGCCTCGGGGTGAAGGTGCAGCATTTGTGGATCTCCAACCTGTGTAATAAATGTTCTGGGCAGATACACCCGGGTCTGGCTGTCTGTCAACAGGGAACATCCCCAAACCTGCACCTGCTGGGAAAAGAAAGGGGGCCTGGGCTGCAGCAGGTGGGTGGTTAAAGTGCCTCCAGCAAGTCGCTTCCAGGCAGTATCCCAGGACCAGCCAGGAGTGACCACTGTGTGCCAGTGCCAGCTTCCATCATGCTCCTGGGTGTGTCCCTCTGAAACACAGATTTCAGAGTCTCTCTTTACAGAGGAAATTAATCATTTTAATGAGGACATGTATCAGTGTTCCTTTATCTTGTACACAAGGATAGTGATGGAAGGAGCAGGTTGCTGTTCTAGATAACCCCTAGATAATTCCACTGAGGAACGTTACAAAAGGAACTTGGGAGTAGAGCAGGAATTACTGTAAAAATACTTAAAACTTACATTCCCTGCTGGTGCCAGACAATTGTGTGAGTCTTCACCTGCCTGTGCCTCTTCCAGAGGGTCACTGTGAGGTTATTCCACAGGCACTGCTGCCGAAGGCAGTAAGGAATTGCTCCGCAGTTTTCCTAGGCTCTGCTTTCAGCTCCCTACTGAGGCAAAGGGAGAGAAGGTGAGGTGGGGTTTGTGTGAGCGGAGCAGCCTCTGCCCTTTTCGTTCCTGTCTCCAACTCTTCAATGCAGTGAGACAAACCCTCCCTCCTTACAGAGCCGAGGCAGCTTTTTCCAAGGCTCTGGACATGGGAATGTCCCACAGGCCCGGCAGGAAACAAGCAGTGAGGACACGAGTTTTAACACATGGAAGTTGAGTTCACTGCAGTGTGTAAACAGGTTCTTTCTCTCTTTATTCTGCTATTGCAAGAACATAAAAATAGATGTCCTCTCCCCCGTCCAGAGCTCCACACTGGCTCTCCCATCCCTCCCTCCCCCAGAGACAATTCCACGGGGCAGCTGACAAAAAGGACTAAGGAAGCAGCTGCCCTTTCCTTGGGGAAAAACCCAGCTTTAAAGGTAGAACACATCTATAGCAAGGAGGGAAAAAAAAAAAAAAACATTAAATATGCACAGGATTCAAACAGGTTTCCTTCTGGAGGGGCAGGACTGTCCGTGCCCGAGGGATCAGCAACCAGGAAACTGCCCTCATCCAATCTGCCACAACCATGGAAGTGCTATGGAAATGGCAGAACGCCCAGGAACACCAGAAAAAACACCCTCTGCCCCCAGCCCAGGGGCACAGCACCGGGGTGGGGGCACAACCTACCTCTGGCAGGGTAAGGAGGGGCCGGCGTTCCCACCGGAGCGGCCCTGATCCCCAGAGGAAGCGGCAGAATCCTGGTCCCAGCTCCACTTCAAGAACCAGGTTGGCAATTTACAGCAGGTTGTGGTGCCTCTGAGGTCTCACTTCCCAGCAGCATCAGTGGCTGACAGGCAGAAAAGGCCAGCGCACACCTCGCAACAGCAGAGCAGACGTGCCTGAAGGTGCGTCACTTCTTAAAAAAAGGCAAATCAAGGGCAAGCAGAAACCACAGAACCAATCGAGGGGGAGGAAATAAAAAATAAAGCAAAGAATGGACCGCATCGCAAACGAACACTAAACAGTTAACTCTGCAATTAACATCTCAAAACCAACTTTTACCCAGGGTGGTCAAGTATCTCATTAAAATGCAGCCATCTAAAAAACTCCAGAGGACTGTTACAAATAAAAACTCGATTCTGTGAATCGCTACACAAACAGGTGGATTTCCTTTAACAAACAGAACCAAACCAGTCTAATTTAGACTCCAGTACAGCATTAACAGTTCCAACTTTAGGCTGTTGAACACTCCTTTTCCACTTCAGTGCAGCGTAGGAAGAATAGCACACGTTAAAAGTTTGTTACGAAAATAGAGTTTATTAAAAACACATCCCTATTGTTTTTTTTTTTTTTTGAGGAGCTTTCACCGTTACCTTTTTTTTTTCTTAAATTAAAAACAAAATAGAAAGCACTTCTACTTCTGATTCGTAAACTTTTTAAAGTCAAAACTTTAAAAAAGTTACAGCAAAAACGGGTAATATTTTAATCATCTCTTCAGTATTTTATGTTATGCTGTGGCTATTTTTAAATAGGAGGGGGGAAGCAATCAAATTGCTGGCGGGGCCCCCGCGCTGGGCGGGGCCGGGGGCGGCAGCGGATTTACAGCACTGTACAACAACTAAAGCTCGACACTCCGGCCCGGGCTCGGCGGGGCCCGGGCTCAGCGCGGAGCCTCCGCCACGGAGCCCGTGTCCTTGTCCGCCTGTTCCAGGGATGAGGTAGCCTCGGGCGCCGACTCCTCCGCAGGTTTCGCACCCGCGGGTTCGGACTCTCCCGCCGCGAGTTCTGAAACAATGTCTGCGTCGGCCGCTTTGCCGCCGTGGGACTCGTGGTTTTTGTCACCCTCCGCCCTGTCTGTCACCTCCGGCTTCTCCTTGCCGCGGCCGTCGTCCTTGTCTCTGCGCGACTCCCGGTCTCTGGAATCCCTCTCCCTGTCTCGGTGGCCGCTGGAGCGCCTGTTCCTGTCCTCCGAGTCCCTGTGCCTGTCGCGATCGGGGCTGCGCCGGCCCCAGTCGCGCCGCTCGCGGTTCCCCAGGCGCTCGTGCTCCCGGTCGTCCCCGCGGTTCCCGTAGCGCTCGCGCTCGTTTTCTACCCGGTTCCCAAACGATCTCCTTCCAAACCTCTCCTGGTCTCTGTTGGGGGTGAACGTCTGCCTGTCGTTCCTGAACTGCCGCCCGTCCCTGTTCTCCTCGGGTCCGCCCGGGCCCCCGCTGCCCGGGACCCCCCCGGGCCTCACAAAGTGCCCCGGCGGGGGGAAGGGGGTTTTCATTCCGTGGGGGGGAGGCATCCCGAAGCCCCCCGGCCCCGGTGGGGGCCCCCTGTGCATCATGTGGGGGGGCATGTGGCGCGGCGGCATCAGCGGGAAGCGCGGCAGCGGCGGGGGCGGCATTCCCGGCGGCCGCTGGAGCGGGATCAGCCCGGGCCGGGCGCCCAGGAGCCCGGTGGATGGAGTCTGGAGCCCGACCACGGGGGCTGGAGGGGGCGGTGCCACGCCCTGGGTGCCTGCAAGGAACACACAAGGGACGGTCAGAGCCTGGCAGCAGGGAACACAAGGCACTTTCGTAGCTCCAAACCCACTCCCCAGGTATCCCAGGAAAAGAGCGCACCCCGTGCTGCCCGGGTGCAAACACCTGTGCGTGCTGCTGAAGGAAAGATGTGGCAAGGGCAGGAACTCGTCCCTGATCCCAAAGGCTCCCTCTGCCCTGGGGCAGGTCAGAGCTCCCCCTCAGCCCCAGCTCGGCTCTCACCTCCTCTGACTGCAGCCAGAGCCCATTCCTGGTATAAAATATATATTATTAGAATATATAAAAGGTAATTTCTGGCTTCTTTTTTTCAAAACACAATCCTGCATCCTTTACAGCACATATCCAACACCAACTATTTTCTGTTTTAATTCCTGGACTCTTGTTTTTAGCACGTTCTTCATAAGAGCTAAAAAAAAAATTAATTACCCTCTCCAAACATACTGTTGGAGAAAGCCCAAAGCTCACTGCCAGCAACAGGAGGAGCCAGAATGGAGGTGGGAGGAATTCTGAGCTCCAGCTGAGGCATTCCCAGGCGTGGACAGGAGCCTCCTTCAGGCTGAGCCAGGAACACCCTGTCCCCTGAGCCCTCACACTGCACCTTCTTGCTCCGTGTGCTCCTGCCCTGAGGTGCGTGGTGTTCCTGTATCAATCTTTATTTCCACATGTATTAATAAAAATGAAAGTTAAGAACAGGTGTTACGCAAACTTTTGTAGCTCCTGCCCTGGTAGAACCAGAATGTGGGAATTAATGCTGGAATTAGAGATACAGCAGTGCCAAGAGAGAAAACTTCCCTTCCCTCCCTTCCTTTTTAATTCTAAAATGCAGAGCCCTCCCTCCTCCCATTCATCACCAGGTCTGTAATCACTGAGCTGAAACTCCTCCCACGACAGAACTGTGGATCTGACAAGACAAGACACAAGGGCTAATGATGTCTCCCAGGAATTCTGAAGTTTGGGGATGTTCTTGTTGAGAAAAACATCTTCTAATTTGCCACAGAAGATTAAAAATAAGGGAAAACAGAATAACTGAGAACTACTGAGCTGAAGAGGACAAGCCTATGCTTCTGCTTAGAAGCAGCAGAGCAGACATGGGCTGCAAGAGCACGAACATGAAGCAAGAGAGAAAAGTTTCACACATTTAATAAGTCACAAGTAATTTCTCCACCTTATTTCTACACAAACTGCAGTGCTGAAGCAGCAAAATGCTACCTGCAACTCCCCCTCTTTCACTCTGAACGCTCTCTGAATATCAGCCCCCCTTGGATGTGGAGGCTAAAGCAGCTGTGGAAGCACTACCAGAGTTCCCTCACCAATTAGAAACTTGCAGAGCTGTCCAGAAACACACCCTTGTTTACTGAAAACGCTCAGGAAGATTCATGGTACATGGTGCCAGGTCTGGGAAGATTTAAAGCCCTCTGTTGTGTCACGAAGAGAAAGCAGTAAATAACAGCAAAGTGGTTTAATGATTTAATGCAGATTATAAAAAAATCACTTGAGAACAAGCCAGCAAGGGAGCAAAGACTTAATGGCTGAGCTTGCACTGCCAGGAAATGAATGCCAAGTTCAGTGGGAACTCCAGGATAACTAAGCTTTGATGACATGTCATTATCCTGCTAGGAATTTGGGTAAAGAGACCCTACAAACTGCAGTAAGGTTTATTTCACCAGGATCACAGAGTCTGAATATTCCAAACACGGCACCTGCAGTTTGTTACTAGCCCAAGTGAAAACGTTTGCTCAGCACTAAGAACACGTTGTCCACTCCGAAAGGATTTAAAAACTGTTGTTTCCTGCAACAGGTACATGCAAAAGGAGCCTAAAAATACCTGCTCTGCAGGTCACTGAAAATTCCCCGAGTGCTCACTCCCTGAGCCATCAAAGCCTGGAGTTGCTTGTTCTGATGAACAACAGGGAGGTGTAACAGCAGCGAGTGTGGTCA